TGAGGTCCTCCACTTCCTTCACAGTCACCACCTTGTCAGTCACTGGTAGCCACTCACTTCTTGACTCCCCTGCAAGGGCCATGCAACCAAGTTGAAAATTATTTCTTCATTTTCGGTAAGTGCATGAGATGGGCTTTCTTCGCCATAAACTGATTTCACGTTCTTGATGTATTTTCTCAGTGTGATACCGTTTCAAATGCATTAGTTGGATGACGGTTCGGTCCTCAATGGGCCCAATACTCATCTTTTTTACTTCTAAGTCTCTCCTACATAAGATAAAACCACTTCTCAGGATTCTCTTTGCGGGAATATTGTTCTTAAGAACCAAATATAATACCAACCAAAAATCATCAAAATCGGTTCACATCTTCTATGTGATGATCAGAACTTTCCGATACCCCCTCGTAACTTCATACTAATTATACGTTAGAGTCATCTTAAAACTACACCTTTTTTCCTTCAGTTTGAAAAAGTTGTAGCTCAATTTGAAAAAGATGTAATTCAATTTGAAAAAGTTGTACTTCAATTTGAAATAAGGTAACTTCAATTTGAAAAAGATGAAATTCTTTTTGAAATAGTTCAAATACAAATAGAAAAAGATATAATTCATTTTGAAACGTATCGGGCTCGGAAGAGAACACACTACACATAGTGTGCTGTGCCTGCGGATGTGCCTCAGGGCATGCAATCATGTGCAGACGTACTTCGCTGGGTGCCTCGAGGAACGCGACCACCCGATGGGCGTTTAAAATGTCCCTGCTTAGCTGCGGCTCTGCCGCACCACTGCACTGTTTTCAGCTTTGAAATGTGTGCCCGTGGTCGGGTCGCAGCGGGTCCGACTTCTGTCCGCTGGCAGAGTCGATTACCTGCCCATTCATTCCGATCTCTGTGTCATGGCATCAATACAGATACCAAACATTCGTTTTTGAGATATCTGCGAAAAACGTCAGGGGATGGTGTTCAAACACCCCCCCCCCCCCCGGCCAGGCGCGGGTTAATGTACTATTACTCGTAAAGGGGTGGGTGGAGAGCCGGTTAACGTCTTCTAATTCGTAATTTGTTTAATTTGATATAAAAAAATGCCCTCCTTACCAGCTACCACACTTCTTAGTACTTACTTGTATGCCCCTATGCATTAGGTACCACGTAACGAAACGAGCAAATGTTTGGTATCTGTATTGATGCCATGACACAGAGATCGGAATGAATGGGCAGGTAATCGACTCTGCCAGCGGACAGAAGTCGGACCCGCTGCGACCCGGCCACGGGCACACATTTCAAAGCTGAAAACAGTGCAGTGGTGCGGCAGAGCCGCAGCTAAGCAGGGACATCTTAAACGCCCATCGGGAGGTCGCGTTCCTCGAGGCACCCAGTGAAGTACGTCTGCACATGATTGCATGCCCTCAGCCCTGAGGCACATCCGCAGGCACAGCACACTATGTGTAGTGTGTTCTCTTCCAAGCCCGATACGTTTCAAAATGAATTAGGTATATCTTTTTCTATTTGTATTTTAACTATTTCAAAAAAATAATTTCATCTTTTTTCAAATTGAAGTTACCTTATTTCAAATTAAAGTACAACTTTTTCAAATTGAATTACATCTTTTTCAAATTGTGCTACAACTTTTTCAAACTGAAGGAAAAAAGGTGTAGATCACCAATTCCAAAACCATTTCATTTTAGATCCGCTACACCGTAGGCACGTTAAATGTCTTACGGTAACTCAGGCGTAGCTTGCTATTAAGCAAATAAATTAAATTACCTTGGGCCATTGGGCAGGCGGCTTAGTACCCTAATCTTATAGCAAGTGAACTTTGAACCAGCAATTGCTTCACAGATACCAAATTGGGTATGGCCATCATTCCCGTTATTATTCATTCAAATGCATCTTCATGAGATACCACCCTTGCTCATAAAGTAAGAACATAAATTACGTCATAAAACCATTAGGCGTCCACCAATCAGGCCGGGAAACCCACCCGGCTCGCAGGCCAGAGTGGCCAGATCATCTGACCAATCAGGAACGATGACGCTGGACCACCGACGACGGGTGAGACGTCTCGCCTCGCTGCGATGACGTTGCCTGACATCCAGCCACCACTGTCCCGTCATTTTACGTCCTGGTTCTAAGGACCTTCTACCATTACTTTGAGGCCAATTTCCCATTTTCTCGTGCGGGCCTTGATTTCACGCTGTAAGCGGCTTCAGAAAATGGCGCCTCTCCGCGTTCATAAGCTCGTCGCCGCTGTCTTTCAAATACGGTCGTCACTCATCTACACCTAAGCCTCTCGCATAGGTCTTCCAAGCACACATCATTACAAGCATCCAGTTACCTGTCTGCTGCGTCCTGTTTCTCCACCTTCCCACACTCCCACTACCGTCGACGACGCTTACTCCTATCCCCTTCCTTCTTCTCCTTTCCCACCAGACAAGCAGACGCTACCGGTCGAAGTCCCGTCGAGACCGCTCATCGAGAGGTAACGGCGGCGACGCTAAAAAGACGTCGGTGTTTGGAGGGCCGCACTCCATGTTTGTTCTGCTGCTGCCGCGTGACGAGGGGCACGCGCCTCTCAGCAGGGAGTCGCCGCGCGCTGATGAGGGGAGTCAGCTGTCAGCCGTCAACAGTTCGGAATCAGCAGTCAGCGGACAATAGTCAACAGGCAGTAGCCGACAACCAACAAGCGTTAGAAAAATCAGCAAATGACAGCCTTGCTGGACCATTTCAGGTTGCAACAACAGCTAGACTAGAAGTCATTAGTCAGCACTCGAAATTCACTAATTGACGGTCACCAGCCGGGCTCATTCGGCTGGAACAGCAGCCAGCAGCATCAGCAGGGGCGAACCTCGTCAGCAGTCAGAGCAGTCTTCGTTCCACAACTATAGCACCGGAAGCGGATGACGATGTCGATGATGTCGCTGCTGACGATGCCAGGTCGACGTTAATTGGAAAGAAAGCCAGAGATGATAAAAAAGGTTGGGGTTGTTGCGTTGCTCGTGGAAAGGGGTCAAATAATTCGAGAGGCAGCATGAAGCCAACCGTCAATGTCCGAAACAACATAAGTTATCAAGACCGTTGAGTGATGGATTTTTGGTAAGACGTCTAACCGGCGAACCGCGAAAGTTCCTCCATGGCTACGTAAACCATGCTGAGTTGCATAGTAATGGTTCGTTCTGTGTTAATGACGTACAGTGGATACTGGACAGTCATCATAAAACTGCTGAGTGAGCACGCTACCACGCGAAGACGAACACTCGATGACATGTATTATCGCACATTTATAAACTGCAAATGAAGCCAGCCTGTATACAAACCTAGCTATCAAGTCCAATTGCTTCACTGAACGTAGGTATCTGAACCAAGACGCCCCTAGTCACCGCGCCCGCTCCCGTCATCTGTATAATTCTACACATCAGCGCCCACCTCCGGGGAAAGAAGACAAATCACGCGGAACGACGCATCCAATCAGCGGCGGCGCCGCCTCGGGCGCGGACCACCACTTGATGACGTCACAGGTCACCGAGCCTGAGGCGGTGACACGCTGAATATAGCCGCAGGGCAGGTCGGCGACGAGCGCCGGGATTGCTAGTGCCGAGATGGCTCGGAATAGAAGCATTATTATTCCGATTCCGGTAGATTGGAATGTCAGGGCCGAGGGCGGCTATCGATGAGGTGACCGAATGACCAGAAATCGGTGGGTGATTTTGTGACGGGTTTTGGGATGTCGTGGTGACAGTTTGAGAGCTTTCTGTCGAAATGTGAGTAGGGATGTTGTGTGAAAGGACAATCAGGAATGTCAGTGAGTCAGCAATTTGTCCCAGGGCTAGTGTCCTCATGGAAAGGCGACACTGCTGTCCCTCTCGGAGGGTGTGAGCGGTGTGGTCGCTGAGTCCCAAAGAATGTAGCATGTCTCAGCTCTTCAAGATAAGATTATTGGGAAGGTCATCACAGCAAACAGGGAAAATGCTCACCTCTTAATTGGCCACATAAGCAGGTGGAAAAGGGCCATCTCGAAACTGCCTCGAGAATGTTGCAGCTTGTGCAATAATCATTCTTCTGCAGTTATCAGTCGCGTTGCTACCTTGAAACCGTTATCGGTGAACATTGCTACAGGCTGACGTGTATGTCTGGTGCAATACAAAGGCAAATTATGTCCGTGTCCCTGCGCTTTTTCCGTGCACTGCTTCAGGTGCGCTGCAAATGCGCGCCAACGTGACAATAATAACGTCTGACGGGTAGCGCGACCAGGAAAATGGTCATTGTGGTTACATAGGTACATTGTGTGGGCTGTGAGTCGATCAAGTGAAAGCAGCCTTCACTTGGCATTGCTCTTTTCGTAAAGACAGTCGTTCAATTGGTTATCTATGTAGTGTCAAAAGCACAGTGAGCATAGGTGCATGAGATGATGAGCAAGGTGAATGAGCAATGCAGATGGAGTATCTATCTGAGGTAACTGAAGGCCGCTTCTGTTTACTTATGCATTTGCATTCCATTTAAAAAGACAAATAAGATTTTGTACGTACCTATCGAATGCCTCATTTAGGTAGGTCGGTACACTGTGCATCGTGAAAGGCGCATCTGATAAAAGCATGGAATAAATGTTCGTAAAAAGTATGCTAATACACCAGAAACCCGAAAGACAACATTTTCACCTCAAAATAGATTAACCAAGTCAAAAGCAATTGGTGTAAGCCTGAGATTGAAAGACTCAACACTAGCTAAGACGGCGAAATCCTCGACCAAGTGAAGAGCTAGCTTACGTCCTATTTCTGTGATTTAATATGCATAGTTATTTTGCTGATATATTTATGAGCTAGTTTCGCATTGAAGTGCGACATTCTTAGCAGCTTGAGAGTGTCCTGCATCATTTGATGTGTGCTATATTAGATATATTCCAAGCCAGCAAACCCCGGTGACATAAAATATATAAAGTTTGAATGTGCGGGAGTATAACCGACCGAGCGGTATGTGGTGTGGCTCTTGTGTGGCTGTGAAGTACTCACAGGCTCCTCAGCTGCCGGAGGTCCCTGAAGTCTGCCTGTCGTATCACGGTAAGATTGTTCCCTTCCAGTTGCCTGTGAACAGAACACGAGGTCAGCACTAGCAGGTATCGGGTCAATTCACACGACACAGGTCACAAGGTACAGGTCAGGTCACATGGCACAAGTCCTATCCACACCTAGCCCTCCCAGCAAAGGCATCACCGGTTCGGCGCAAACTCTACTAGATCAGTCAGCCCCGGGACCCCTGTCCCCTGTCGTCCGGAGTAGATCAGCGCCGGTATAATCCCGCAGGTGTCGACAGTCGCCGGCAGATCCGCACAGTGTGACCGCAGAGCATGACTCTCACCTAGAACCGATACCATCTCCGCACAGCCGACAGTAATCCTACGTGACCAAACCGGCCCTTCGCCGCGCGCGCCCACTCTGAATGGCAATGCGCCGCTGACAGCTTCTCCCGCACCCGTTGGCTACGGCCGGGTCAGGGCCAGTTTTTGTCAGTGGGGCCTCCTCGACTCCCAGGCGTCCCAAGCCCTCTCGGTCCCCTGTCCCATCCCATGGGCAGGGGACCGTCCCGCCCGTTCTATCATCGAACAACAATCGATTGTGCGATGACGGGCCTACGAATTATTCGCGTCACATTACTGTGATTGATTCGTCAACTGCCGGGCGTTTTTACGCTGCCCCAGTCAGATGGAGGGAGATGGTGCCCGCTGTCAACACTAGCCAGAGGCGCAACAAAAGGGGTGCGGAGGCAGGGGCAGCCTCGGGGACAATAACCAATAGAATCCGGCATATTCAAACGCTTACCCCGCCCCAACTGGCGCCTACGCGTGTGTCTGCTAGTGGAATTAATTACGCCGAGTTTCGATACAACGGCGCCTGCTAATCCAGGCGGGCCCGGGGCTTACTGGCGTGTTATTTATCACCTCTGAATCCATAGGAATTACGGCGCGCGATGCGGTGGAGCAAAAACGTGTCCCCTCCCTCTCTCTGCTCGGCAGGGCGGCGTCCGGACCGGAGGCAGGCGCAGTGTAGTATTACAGGGGAGAGAGGCGCCAGAGAGGCGCCAGGAGGGCGACAAAGGACACGAAACAAGGCCCACCGTCAGCATACCACCAATGCCGACGGCAGAAGATACAGCAAGGTCGGAACTGGCGAAGGTCGGAGCTCGAGGACGGAGGCCGAAAGATGTCAGAGGACATAAGTCAGTGAAAAAACGGCGTACACTGAGCTTGTGGAGAAAGAAAGAGAGAGACAGAGAGGGAGAGAGGGAGGGAGAGAGAGAGAGAGAGAGAGAGAGAGAGAGAGAGAGAGAGAGAGAGAGAGAGAGAGAGAGAGAGAGAGAGAGAGAGAGAGAGAGAGAGAGAGAGAGAGAGAGAGAGAGAGAGAGAGAGAGAGAGAGAGAGAGAGAGAGAGAGAGATGGACGGGAGGCCGTGTCGGGAGGGACAGCAGCGGAAGCCGTGCGTAACCAGAGATAGAGCTGATAATTGTGTGGCCTTCGCGGCGATGGTTGTACTCGACAGCTATGGCAGCCGCAATGCCGCCGCAGGATGGCCCCGTCCGGCTGGCTGTCAAAGGAACCACTGGCTCCTGATATATTTGTTATGCACGAAAACAGCTCACAAAATGTCAACCGTAATTCAACAGTCAGTCTTCTGTTAATGGAATCGTTGTATTACAATAAATTAGCCGTTCAAAGCTGTGGTTACTCATTCAATCTTCTATAGACGCACTTGACCTTTCCAGATTGCGAAGCAGTAATCGCATCAGTCACACCATTTCGACCTTCGGGTTTTCAAAAATGACTGACAAAGTCTATCGCCACCCATGTTTAATCGGCACAATGATGAGGGGCTACGCCATAAATGGCTCCTGGTTAGCTCAGTAGCGAGCTCAGCCGTGCGAATGTTGCGCCCACAGCTGAGCCTCTAATCCAATCACCAGCAGCGAAACCGTGTCCGAACCTCGCTGAACAGTCTGCGAGCCGAGAAACCGAACGGTGCGCGATTTAGCACAGAAGCGCAACCATTTCAAGTCTGGGGAGTTACTGGGCGCTCAAGTGGCGCCAGCCGGGACGCTGTCTGGCCACATGTGATTGTTATGGTGAGAAAGGATGGTGAGAAAAGGTGCTCCAATCGTGAGAATGGGTGGCGATCCGTGTGATATGGTTCACTGGAGCATTGCCGCAGGACGGCGACGAACTGCGGCGGGTTTTATGTCGCCGCCTTTCGGAGGAGGTTCGCAGAAACAACTCGGGCGGGTGTGTCCCGGTTTACTGGCGGATTAAAGTTATGCGTTTGTGTATTCAGGGATTCATTCAGGCTGGGCAATGCAAACCGTGCAAATCGGCATAAATAATGATTTTTAATAATTTGCTGATAATGGTAAGATCAATAGATATTTCTGTTTATTTATTCGGCTTAATTGACCAAGTTTATCCGATCCTGCAAAACAAAGAAACCTTAAATTGATTTCAAGAAAGTCAGTTTTTATGTCGACGCCGTATGTAGCCAATCTGCACCTGCAACTCTATCCTGACCATAACCTATCATGTTTCCGACTTCCCAGACAAGCTTCGCATGACAAGACTTCAAAAGACGGCCGATGTATCGCCGGCCCATGCCCATTCCGCCTCGCCCCGGGGCGTTGCCGGAGCCGATGCCGGTGACGGGTCGGCGGCAGTGTGGCGGCGTGGGGTGGTGGTGGCGGCAGTCAGGCGGTCAGGCCAGGTTTCCTGTCCAGTAATCGATAGAGGTGGCGACACTCAGCCGCGGCGGCCCGGCGCCTGACCCCCCTCCGTCCCCCTCTGATGGGGACGCACATCAGTGGACCACCGACGCGGCGGCGAGCCCCAGGCATGACGGGGACGGTACGGAGATCGTATCGGGTGACCCCCGCACGCGCCGGCCGGCCGCACGCACGACCGACACCGCTGCCGTCTTGCTGCTGCTGCTGCTGCTGTTGCTTATCCTGCTGACCTGACCTCAGCTTTATCTAACACTCGCCACTCGCATTTATCACCTTCCAACGACGGCCTTCGCATCAGACAACTCCATCTGACTGTGTAGTGGCACCGGGTCCGGCCCTCGATGGAGTTGTTTTGCCAGCGACAAGTGGACCTTCCGAGTGGAGATATTTGAATACCGGAAGGGTGGCTCGTTACCGCGCTCAACACGCGCAGTATGGGGGAACGGCAACAGGCTGAGATGAGTTTATTGGGGTCCGAGTCTGACATTTACACACATCAGCACTAGTGCACTACGCAATAACACGGCCCGCTGTTGTGTTGAGTCGGAAGGAGCCGGTCGGTGTGGCGCCGCGGCGCCCTCCGTCCGCGTGCGAGGCTCCAACCGCTTCAGGGTGGAGTCGCTGGATTGCGTGCGGTGCCACCCCGCAAAGGGCTCTTTAATCGAACTGGGGAGCCGCAGCAGCAATCGTTAGCGTGAGTCATGCCCGCTAGCAGTCACGGCGAGCGCCGCGACACACACACATACACACAAATCGTCGGCGCCGTCGCCGTCTTTGAAAACGGCCGACGACCGACGGACAGACGGAAGGAACTTGTTGGCCAGCGCACAGTGGCCCTTTTTCAGAATTAGCACGCATAAATTCAAAATATTTTTTCTCTTCTTTTGAGTAAAAAGCAGTCTAATCGTGTGCAAAACATTCCAAACTATCCGATGGTGCCATTTTTACCTCCTAAAAAATAATTATCTTTGGTAAAACTGACCGCAAAATCGAAGTTTGTCGAGAGGCGCGCGGACACCACCGGCGGACCCTAAAAAGTAGGGTGAGATGAACATCAATTTTTAAGGCTTTCGGTGAGAAAATATTAAAAATTAGTGGCATGACTGTGAAGCTGAGTCTACGTAGAAGCCCTAGAAACCACAATTTCCATTGTATAAACTTAAATTGACCACTTTTGCCGAATATTGTGAACACAATAACAGGACAATTATTAACTGGAGATGGCGGCATACATATGAAGCTTTATGTTAAGTAGCACACTCTGGGACATATCGTATTATACATCGTTCGAATCGCCGATCTCTTCTGACCATGTCCACCAAAGGGCATCGCGCCATTTTGCGCCATTTTGCTTCTACGGTGGATAACGTGAGCCCGTTCAGTCCGCGAGCGGCTGTGGCTCCTGTTCGATACGACTAAGCTCATTGACCTGGCTAGAAGCTGGTGTCACCTGGTGTGCGCCTAAATGTGGCTTGGCTTTTGCCTAAGATGTGCATATTGAAATGTCATTTAGGCATAACGCTGTGCTCAAGAAAAACTGTCCGATTTCTTGTCGCGTTTGATGTCCAAGCCGCACAAGTCCCGTGGTCGGCTTAAGATCTAACGTCAAAAGCGCCTATGTGTTTGTATTGTTCGCGTCGCGCTGACCTTAGTTGCTGCCCGGCCGGGGCCGACTAACGGTGGCTGGCAACAGCTGTAGATGCGGTCACGTGACGCCCTGGGGCGTCCTGGCGGTCAGTGCAGCGCGGTCGGCTGGCGGGCTCGCCACACTTGCGTTCGGAGCGGCCTAGGCCGGCGGGCGAGCCGTGGGAACGTGCGCCAAATCTTGGGCCGAGCGGGCTGTCGCTGTTGGGCAGAATCTCCTTGGGCAGTTCGTTTCGTTTCTTCTCTTTGCATTGGCAGGAAATACGTCCTTGATCACGTGGTGATGTCTTGCACCACTTGCAGGTAATGTGGGAATTAATGCGTGCTAATTCTGAAAAAGGGCCACTGTGCAGCGGTTGACCAATACGGGCAGACGGAAACCGTCCGACACAGACGGATAGACGGGCGGAAACGGACAGACGGATGGGTTTACGGATGGACGAGCGGACCGACGGGCGGACGAACGGACGAAAGGACAGAGCAGACGGCATGATGGGAAGATGGATGGGTTTGGAAATTCAACTGGGCGGCGCGGGGCAATAAAACCTCCCTCATTATTACGGTTAGCTACCCAGGTGACAGTCGAATGGGCTGCGATAGAAATCTCACGCAAACATCTACTCACTGAAGCGGAGCTGAGTCAAACCCCCGGTAAAAAAGTATGAATGGAAAAGTGGCA